GAGAGAGAGAGAGAGAGATACCTTGTGTTTTAACCTGACGTCAAACCCAATTGTATGGCAAACGAATGAATTTAATAAAATGTAAGTCTTATTCGCTTCAATATAAAGTGCGGACGAAATATGAATTATAAATAATAAAACCGTTGAATACATAATAACACCAAATATTGTGAGAAACAATAATACAATATTATTAACACTGGACATCATTAAATAAATATAGTATGCAATTAATGAACCAAATGTTGACCAAATAATGCACAGATATTTTGACCAAAATATGCTATTGGTTGAATTAATTTCACGATACACTGCATTCAACTCCCATAGGATTTTAATAGCAAACATATTCCGGTTATATTTTTGAATATTCATCATTCGTTGCTTAATAGCTTGATTAATTAGTTTAATTTTGCATTTTAAATATAATGCTATTATAAAATAGTAAAACAAAAGATATATAGCAATGTTCATAACATACAAAGCCCATAACAGATAGTGTACAATTTGTAATATAGTAATTGGTATTAGATATTTATTTGTTATGGTAAAATTAGTAAATCCAAGTAGTACAAATATAAAAACAGATAGTGTGCCTTGTGGAATAGTTAGTTTAATTAATTTTGCTGATTTATTGTAAAAATGACATATTTTGTGGACAAATAGTCTATCGTTAATCCCAATACTTTTGGGTGAAATAAAACCCGAAATCATTTGAAATACTCTTAAATCCGTTGGTTTTATACCATTTCTATAGTTATAGTAATGGAGTGTTTGAGTTAATAAGCAATATGAACTTACCATGGTTAGTATAAGATTAATTGTATAGCCCTGGGCAAGAAAATGATCAAGATTGCCGAGACATAAATGAATAATGTTAGTAAAAATTATGTTGTTAAAAAATTGATAAATTAATGCCACACTTTTTAACGACATTAACATAAATACAGAGAATATAAGCAATGGATGGTAAATGTAATGCCGTTTAATATTGTTCTGTGTGTTGAATAGGGATAACCCGATTCGGTAGAGATGACTGTCCGCATACTTTACCCGCAATTTCCGGGGTATAGGTTTGGATAAATTGAATTCGTATGCCATTTGTAAATTTTTAAAATTAAATTGTTTTAAACAAGTAGTTTTATTGCAAACGCGAACAATATTGTTAAAAAATTACTTATTTTTTGTTTAGACCTATCAATACGATCATGCTGTGATGTAAAAATGAACTATTATGTTGTAATAGGTTACATAATTATGGCGATGGTCCTTTTTATATAATTAAGTAATTAAATAAATAATAATTTATATAATTAAGTATTTTAATAATTCTATGAGTCAATTAAGCTTTGTACTAACTAAATAATTTTCTAATTTATAAGTACAGTAATTTATAACATTCATAATAGTTTAATGTTAGTACAATATAATTAATGTTTGAATATTAATTAACACCTTTTAAGGTTAAGTTTAATTTTAAAGTAATAAAAGTTATAATAATTATATTAAATTAGTGGCAGTTAAGAAAAATTAATTTCACGTTTGGCTAATTTTTAAAATTATATAAACTTAAATACATTTTTATAAATAAAAATGCATAAATAATATAATTTTCAAAATCACCGTATGAACTTATAATTAAAGATTACTGTAAATCTACTAATTATAAATAAATACTGTTTTTATATTGGCAAAAAATGGTTTAGAAAAATTAATTTTTATTAATGAAATCTCAATTAATTGCAATAAATATAAGTTTACAAACAGAATATTTTTACATTATAATCATTAATTTGAAATGTAATAAAATTTGTTCTTTAATAACTATCTAGACAATATATCTAAATATAAAAACAACATTGTTTATACAATTGATATAAATCTCTAATTAAATAAAACATTAATGTAAATTAATGCAACAAATTAAGATTATATTCAATAAATGAGTTTATTAAAATAAAATTAGAAATTATCTAGATTGAATTTTAACAATCAATTTTTTGGGTGACATAAGCGGTACACCATTGAAAAAGTCCAGTTCGGGCTCCTGGGCCAGTGTGAAATGATATCGGTGAATAAGTTTAGCCAAACACATGCGCATCTCATTCATAGCAAAGCGTTGACCGATGCAAAGCCGGGGTCCGGCGCCGAACGCCTGGAAAGCCATCGGATGGTGTGTGGGCTCAAACCAACGATCGGGTTTGAAAGTATCAGGTGAGGGCCAGAACTCAGGATCGCGGTGTATAGCGTGCGGGTATATCTCAACACTAGTGCCCTTTGGTATTGTTATGCCTGTGTAATTAATTATGATAAAAATTAATAAAGTTAAATGAGTTTGTAAATAGTTGTATTATTAATATAAAACATACCGGTATTGCCCAACTTATAGTCCTGGATGCATTCGCGGGCGTTGCGGGTCAGCGATGGCGCCAGACGTAGAGTTTCATTAATAACGCCGTTCAAGTACTTTAAGTGAACCAACTTTTCGTACGTAAACTCATCGCACGCTTTCAACTCGTGGGCCAACAGGCGCTGGCACTCAGGGTTTTGGCTCAAGTAAAACAGGGCGTTGGCTATGGAGGCGCTGGTCGTGTCGTAACCGGCGATATACAGTAAAATACTCTGAGCTGTCAACTCATCCGCAGTTAGTGTGCCCTTTGATAGTTTGGCCGCCCCCTCGGCCACCTCCTGGGGCGTGACGTCCACATCGCTATTGCTGTCATAACCCAAGTCTGTGTTTGACTTTTCCGAGTCAATCATGAGTTGTATAAAATCCGTGCGCCGGCTATTCGTGTACTTATTATTATGTTTGCGTTCCTTAAGTATTTGATTTGTAAGTTTGTCAAAATATGTGGTGGCTTGAAGGTCGAAAAATTCTAGCTTGAACATTTTGGCCACTCTAGGCATTAACATGCCTATCACCTGTTGCCACGTTAGGTCAACGCTCAATATTCTCTGTGCGTTGACCACTACCGGGTGGTCCGGGTTGTTGAGCGTGTCTACGTTGATGCCGTACGCGCACGCGCTGATCACGTCCATCGCAAATGCGCCCACTTTGTGCCGTATATTGAATGCTTCACCTAGGTGATATTATTGTAACCGTTAATAATAATGCTATATTCTATTTATTTACAGCTATTTATTTATTTGTATCTATAAAAACTCAACGTTATAATTCCTGTAAATTCCTTGTTATATATTCTTACTAATAATAAACTATGACATTTATAATTAATGATTTTACAACTGTAGATTTAAAACTTATGAAGTTGTATAAAATTAGTTCTTAATAATAAATAAAGATAATAATTACCAGATTTAGCATATGGCTCCAAATTAGTTATAAATACATCAGAGATATCGGATATGTGGGCCATCATGGCTTTCAATTTGCCTGAGCTAAACGCCGGTGACATAATTGATCTAATCCGTTTCCAATTGTCATCGCCGGGCAAAAAGAAAATGCTCTGGCTAATCTTAGAACTGCCCGTGTAGAAATGCTTGTGGTCGGGGAATATGTGAAAGTCTTTCACCATAATGTCTTTAAGCAGCTCCGGGTCGTTGATGGCAATTGTACGCCGGGTCATGTCATACCCGCCATATACTCGACCATACTTTTTATACGATCGTTGTGTGTAAGTGTGGTGGGGCTCAAATATGGGCATTTCCATATAGCATGGACCGGGCACACCATGTCTGGCCCAGTAGGTAAACCGCCATCTCACATAGCTAGATGGTTAATTTAAATAATTTTATAATAGATGTGGCTATTTATTTATAATATATAAATAAATATATTTTATAAAATACAATGATGGTTAAACCTAGTAAAATTTATTTATACTTACATTGAAATGCTTGTGATAATTACAACAGCGCTAGTAATATACGGATAGGTAGACCATATATTGTTAATAAAGTCCATAGTTTTAATTATAAATTACAAATAAAATAATATTGAAATAATGATGGTTATAATTAAACTTTGCAAGTATTTTATTATTCTTAAGTCAAATAATAAATTCTTAATATTGTGACAAACTATTTATATTGTTTCAAATTAATGCACTAACTTAGTTTGCTGCAAACATTGCGTAATAGTAACACAGGTTTATTTATACAGGTTTCCATATAGTGAACTTGTTTAGTACATTTGTAAGTTTCAAGGTAACTTTTTTACAAGTGATGGACTAAACAAGTTTACAAATAGTATTATTCAACATTAAATGTGTTGTTTATATGATATATTGCCTTTATATACTACCTGTATATGTGTTTTTATTATAAATTTTAATTTATAACGTTTTTAATGCTTTTGTGGTTAATTAAAATTTTATTCATATCTAAAATAATTAATAATTCAATTAATTGATTAAAGTTGTTGTGATGATTTCAAGTGATAATTTCAACAAATTTTGACTTTTTTTAATACATAACGCGGTAATGCACGGAATTTTACGGTAATTAGTAAACTTGTTTAGTGCATCATTTGCATGTAATTTTGCACTATGATACGTTTAGTAGAGATAATTTTATAATTTTTTAAATTAATATTTCAAGTAGCTTACTTTGTAATGTAGCAAATATTTAATGCTCAAAAAATACGTTAATTTTTATGTTTGGCAAAATTCATTAATGCAATACTTAAATAAAAAGGACATCAAGTATTTTACGATATTTGTTTACAAATATTTTTAAAAATTTATTAGATAATCTCACAATTATCTAGATTGAATTTTAACAATTAATTTTTTTGGTGACATAAGAGGTACACCATTGAAATACTCTAGCTCAGGCTCCTGGGCTAGAGTAAACTCGTATCGATGAATGAATTTGGCTAAACACATGCGCATTAAAATCTACCCTGTATAATTCCAAATATTAATCATTAAATTTTTATTTATATTTAGTATTAAAACTACAAGCTTTACAAATTTTGAAAAGTGATTAAGGGAATCACAAACAATATTATTTATTTAATATAAATATGGAATCATTTTATATTTCACTTGATTTGTGTATTGTTGCCAATAGTGACCATATTTAAGTTTGCATTTCTCTTCATTCTTGTTGCATCTATCAAATAAAAAGCCTGTTACAAATATTAGGCACATGTAAGGTATGGGACTGGCAAACAGTGCCGGCAAACACCACAGTAAATTCAACATAAACTCAAATAAATAGTTCATATGTCGAGAGATTCCCCAAAACCCTGACGTCAAAAGTATGTTTCGCTTGTTTTGCCCAAAATCGTCGATATATTCGGCTCTAAAACAATTTAATGTATAATAATAATCGATATTATAATTAATATTGCTAAATAATTTGTTTTTTAATATAATATGAAATTATTATTTTTGCAATACCGAATAAGTTTTGCCGGTTTTCCCCAAATAATACATTTTCCATTATTTGACCTGAAATATAGTTTTTGTTCATCTGCCCATGTGTTTAGACCAATCGATATTATGCCACCAATTATAACTGTAATAAATGATTTTATTCCAAACGCATCATATGGTGAGTTGTCTACCAAATATAAACTGGTTATAGTGAAAAATCCAGGCATAAATGCTATACTTCCCCAACAGAAATAAAAACCATATAGACATTCAGTGACGTCAAATCCCTATAATTTAAATAATTGTTTTATTTAATAATTAAATACATCCCATATTTTATATTTAAAACTAAAATTGCAATTTATAACAAATTTGAGTGACATGAGATTATTACATTTAACTTTTCTTATAAACAGGATAAAACAAAATGCTAATGCTTAAAAATATTTCGAATTAGCAGTATATTCACATTTATATCAATAGAATTAACAAGTTGAAGTAGAATTTCCTTAGAACTAACTTTAGTCTTATAGTGATAACATTGTAAATACGATTAATATTAGTCCTATTGAAATAACATTGTTTATATACTAATATTGCATTTTAAATGTCATATGTTAAAGTCGTAATTCCATAAAATCACATTTGAACGCGTATTGTCATAAATCTATAATTAGTGCAATTGGATTAGCATTACAAAAATACCCTTTTCCAAAAATTATGCTTACCATAAAACATAATTTCTCATAGGAATCAAACGATTCTATAAACCGCAAATTTCTATATATATATAATACATTGTCGTTGAAAAACAGCCGGTTTAAAAATAGAAATGCAAAACCCTTCAAAGTAATTATGCTAAATATTGTACCCACAAAATAAAATTATAATTAATAAATCATACTTTGTTGTATGCTTCTTCCCAGTAATAAAATTTTGTTATATATATGGTTTGTAATAAAGTAGTGGCCGATAGAGAGTAATTGAAAACCCCATCAGGTAATGTTTCAAAATTGGCTTTCCAACACAATAGCATTACATATTGCCACAACATTATTCCAAATCTACTGGTGATCCATAATTTTAAACTAATTACAGGCGTAATGTGTGGATACAATTCAATGCCCATAAAATAATCAAATAATGGATTTTTGGTCTTTTTATATAAGCCATCCGAAGGCCAAAATAATCCTATTATAAATCAAAATTAATTAAAATTACATAATTAATAACAAATCTATGTTTTATATTAAATAACTTTTACCTTTAATATAAAGGAGTGCGCAAAAACATAGACCAAATGCACATAAAATAGCAATAAAATTTTGTAATTTGTAATATAGATGCCAAACTGGGTATATGTACATAATTGGCACCATAGCAATCATTGTTATACAATAATACGTAAAACCAGAATTCCTTTATATTAAAATATTATTTTTATTATTATTTTCAGAAAATAAATTATATTAACTTAATCAAACCAATATTTAGGTGTAAACCCATTCATAGTAATTGGACCATAATAAGATTTTCCCGGCAAATACAATGATAGGAATGACCATATTAGAAATGCGAACATTATACTCGAACTTTCAATATCATACCTGTTATTAAAAACATTATAAAGAATTATATTTCAGTGTTAGAGTTATTAGCACATCGTTATTGCGGAAACTCGTGTTTATTAAACTTAATTCCTTAAAAATAAAATACTTTTAAACTTTTTATGTTAAACTTTAAAGTTTTAATGTAATTGTGTAAATTTGCAAAAATAATTTTTACAATAATTATTTATACCAATTTTTAGAATTTTATAAAATATATATTTTTATTGTACGTTTAACATTTATATATAACATTTAGAGTAGTAAGATTGTGTGCGTACATCTAGGCGTACACAGTATTTTAATATGCTTTGTAATTTATACCTTATTCATAGCTTAATCATATATAATGTTAACAAATTAACAAGGTGAATCAGAAACCACGTCAATATTGTATAGTTCCCTTCAATTTTCGCACGTCTCTTAATTTAGAGCTTTATAATATATTATAGTCGTTGCAAATAAACTGGAATATGAATCTCCCAGCATATATTTTATAAACCAAGAATATTATTACTAGTGATTGAAAAACTTGAGATTTTGTGTTTTAAAGCCGTGTCGGAGCCGTGAGAGCCGGTTGAGATTACAACTACACTTGACATACTTCTGATTTTGATATAATCTCCGGTGAACAATTGCAAATATATCAAGAACCTCTAAATTAATAGACATTCCGTTTTCATAGATCAATTACCAGATAATCTTCCCTTAAAAAAACACATTAACACTAGTTTTAAATATGAATTTATATTGAGCTAGGTCAAGTTTAAATAAAAATCAAAATTTTAAAATCGCTCTTAAAATAATACTAAATTTATAGACTTACAAGTTAGATGTGTTTGATGAGTCACTTTTTATTGTCATTTATATAATCATTTTCGATTATGAAAACTTTAATGAGCTGCTTGACGTAGCTCAATATTTGCGTTTCTCGAGTTAG